GACACGGGCGCTCCCCCCGGCCTTGGCCGCCCGCTCCTCCCCCTCAAAGTGTGGGGAGGGTGTGCGGGAGGAAGGGAGAAAATTAAAGCTACTTAACGGGAAGGTGGAGGAATGGAATACAAGAACTTCTTTTCTACGGCGGCTGTCTGATGGTTTAAACTAAACTCCACGAGAACATCTTGAAACCTGGTGGTTTCTTTGCTGTGTGCAACAAAGGACGTTTATTTTTGTATGCATAACACAACTTTTTTATTTACGTGGTGTGTACGTAACAAATTGCTCTGTTCATCTTCATGGGAATACTGCTATAATTACAAAGTGTGTAAATAAAATAAATAGCTAAGTAGCAGGTAAGCACTCTAACGTTAAAAGGTTGTCAGTGAGGAAGAATGAGATAGGGTGCGTTGCTCTAACCTTGCAACGCAGTTTCAGAGAGTGCAGCGCTGTCTGAAACGTATACAGAGGAGACTTCTTCCTCTGAGCATGTATGAACAGGTAGGAAATAAAAACTGGCTGAGTACTGGATAGCATGCACAGAGGTACAGCGGTACGGTGGTGGTAAGTGTATAACGGATCTGAAAATTAAATAAAGTTGGTCTCTGACTCTGAAGCTGCAATTTTTTTGTAATAGGTCACTAGAGGGGTGGAGAATGCTGTGACTGAACTTAAAAGTAAAGGCAAAACTCACCTTACTGGCAAAAGGGGTGCTTTGGAAGAAATAGGAAATAAAGTTGCAACAAGAGGAACACACATAGCTAAGGTAAAGGAACATTTGAAATCTATCTATAAGGAAAAGATGGATTACTAGCTCTGTACTAATAGTAATTGTTTTCACTACAGAAAACAGAATGCTCCAAAGCATCCATAAAGCCTACAAAAGGACCTAGTAAGATGACAAATGTAACTGTACTGCCTAAACCTCCGGCTGCTGTGAATCGAGCATGCAAAGAAACTGGCGTTCCGAAGGTAGGAAGTAATGACACTGTTCTGATTCTTAATTTGATTTGCAGCTTAGAGCTCTAACTTCAGAATAGTTTATCTGTAGATGTATCTCATTTCCCTGCTGAAAAATCAAAGCCTCGGTAGTGAGGTGTTTGTTTAATGTATGTTGTGCTTAAAGGCTAACATTAAAGTGGCAGAACTAGCTGTTGAAGTACTGGATGAAGTTTCTGCTTTAGCTGGCAATTACTGGGAGGTCTTCTGATTCTGTCTGTATGGCATCTTGGTGAAAGCTTGCCGCGCTAGAATGTAAACTCGGTTTCAACTTTTTCTATCTTAAGAAATTGTATTAGTAACTGGAAAAATGTGGAAATGAAGGAACATTGCAGCTTAAACAGTAGATGCGTAAGCACTATGATCTGTTCCTTAGGTTCTGTCTCCTGTCCCTATGGATGTATCTATGCAAGAGGAGGATTTGTGCCAAGCCTTCTCTGATGTGTTGCTCAACAATGTCGAAGACATTGATGCTGAGGACTGGGGGAATCCCCAGCTGTGTAGTGACTACGTAAAAGATATCTATCTGTATCTGAGAGAGCTTGAGGTATGACATACTGAGTCTGCACTTCTGCAGTATAGTGTTAATCTTGTTGCTCACACAGCTCTTTCTCCAACAGCTGCAGCAATCGGTCCGTCCGCATTACCTTGACGGAAAGATGATCAATGGGCGTATGCGTGCAATCTTAGTTGACTGGCTTGTCCAGGTCCACTCAAGATTCCAGCTTTTGCAGGAAACACTGTATATGTGTGTTGCAGTTATGGATCGCTTCTTACAAGTAAGAAAGATATCTTTCAACTTGTGTTTGGATTAGGAGACTTGTTCAATGATTGTGCTTTTAAAGGAGTTTAGGATTTATCCTTTCTTTATAAATCTAAGAACTTAGGTAATCTGCTCTTTGCGTAAGAGCTCTGTATAATGTAGCATCTTAACTCTGAGGCTGCGGTCCTCTTTGATCCTGTCATTATAGGGACGCTTCTGACTCAAAGTGGAAAATCTCATTTACATTATAAGAATGAGCACTGTCATACTGGTATTTTAAACTGATAAATTAGAATGTTTATCTAGAGTTTGACATTTTGGGCTCTGCTTTTTAAATTCCTATATTGCAGCGTCATCCAGTACCTCGTAAGAGGCTTCAGCTGGTGGGTGTAACAGCACTGCTTCTAGCTTCAAAATATGAAGAGATGTTATCTCCTGATGTAGCAGACTTTGTTTACATTACTGACAATGCCTACACCGGCAGTGAAGTTAGAGAAATGGAGATCATGATTCTTAAAGAGTTAAACTTTGATTTGGGACGACCTCTTCCAATTCACTTCTTAAGAAGAGCATCAAAAGCTGGGGAGGTGGGTACTTGTCCTCATTATCTAGAACTTTTCTATATGTGTAAGGTCTTACCAGGATTGCTTCTGGCATTTTTATCATGTGATCTTACTTGCTTTCTGCTTACGTGCTGGATCAAGAAATATTCAGCTATGAAACTCCACCATGTGGAGTAACGTAACATCACTGTGGCAGCCAGTAGCAGTTCACATTTGTATTTACTGGGGCCTGTGTTCAGTCTTAGTGGCAGTAATTTTACTGTTGGAGTAAACTAAACATACCTAGAGCAGAACCCTTGTTTTCAGAATAATCTTTTGTCTGGTGATCAGGGTATTCCCTAGTAAAAGGGGAGGAGTGTTGCAGTTCATGATTTTTGGATGCAAATATGGTATTATTTAAGAATCAAAACATAAGCTTTCTTTTTGACCTGACCCTTTTCTCCCACCTCAGTAGTTACACTCAAGTGAACTGCCCACACTTGAAGTGGGCCTCAATTACCTCAACAGACCACTAGGTAACTCTTGGAGTTAGCTGACTGCTTTAATAAGGATCTCCTTAAGACATTTTACACACACACACACCCCCCCTTAGTGTATTACAGAGGGAGCACTTTTATCCCTGGCTGGGCACAGCAGTGCCCGATACTGCAGCCTTCTGTTAAAATCCCTCACTTGACTTTGTGTCTGAATTCGAAGTGGCTGCTAGACTAGCCTAGTTTGGACTCTGGTCTCGATTTCGAGATGAGTGCCTGTTAGAAAGTATGGTCCCTAGACCTTAATAAAGATTTTGTTGACTATTTCTGTTTCGTCAGTTAATTAATACAATAAAGAATCCTGAATTATTATGATAAAGTGAAGTGAAACTTTGTGGATTAACAAACTTTCAATCTGGTAGGCTGATGCTAAGCAACATACGCTAGCAAAATACCTAATGGAGCTGACACTGATAGACTATGACATGGTTCACCATCGACCTTCAGAGATTGCAGCTGCTGCATTATGCTTGTCCCAGAAGATTCTGGGACATAACGAATGGGTAAGTATTTTAATCAATCAATCAAACTCGTTAGGAGTTTTTTCCTTCAGTCAATTGAATTGAACAATTAAAACAACTACTTCAGAAAATTGCATTTAGGTCAGTAATAAAGCTGGTGATCAAATGACAGTTGGACAGCCCTGATGCATAGCTGCAGGTAGAAAAAGGAATATACCACTAAAAACTTAGTATTTTTTTGGATGTGAACACTGTGTTATGAAAGGATTATTCTCTTGAAAGTATTGAGTTACAAAAGGCCATGCTGTAAATAAAAGTAGATTTTTTTTTTTTTTTTTTTTTTTTTTTCTCTTCTCATAATTCTCACGGTACATGCAGAGTAACGAAATCATGGACCATGAATAGTGAATTGTAATTCAACTAGTGGTTACTCTTGCAAGGGTTGCTTCTTTTATTCTCTGCACAGTGTAGAAATGCGGTTCTTGGCATTGATGTGTCCAGACTTCTGCTGGACACCAGAAGTTATTCTGGATCTGTCGCCTAAACTGACAGTAATACAGTTCCTAGCACTCAAGGCTAGCGCGTGAATCTTAGGGCATTTGCTACCTGGAGTGATTGTGCCTTGAGCAGCAATCTCCACTTCATAAATCTCAAATTTCTTACCGTTATGCTGCAGGGCACAAAGCAGCAGTACTACACCGGGTATACAGAAGACAGTCTTGTGATGACTATGAAACATATGGCCAAGAATGTGGTCAAAGTAAATGAGAAGTTAACAAAATACACTGTAAGTATAGCTACTTTTTGATGTTTTAGAAATACCTTTGCTGCATATTGTGGTTCTGTAGGTAAAGGTTCTGTATGTTATCTTAAAGCATATGCTATTCTGACAAGCCTGTGAGAGGATGTTGCATTAGTACCAACTTCAAAACACTTTGGACAAACTGTGCTCTTGCTACTTTGCAAGCTGGTTCACTTCTAACCTTGTTTGTTTGTTTTGCTTGTTTTCCAAGCAGTCAGGCTAATTGACCCAAAATTATCTGCCTGAACTTAAAGACTGTATGTGTATATCTTTTGTAACACTGTTCCTCTACCTCTGCAGGCTATAACGAATAAGTACGCAAGTAGCAAACTACTGAGGATCAGCACAATCCCTCAACTGAGCGGCAAGATAATCAAGGACCTGGCTTTATCACTCTTATGATAAACCTAGGCAGCCAAGTCCTGATGGTATATGCACTTTGTCCTCATTTGCCTATTGAGGCAAAACTGCTGGTCTTTGTACATAGCATTCCAGCCTTACCGCAGACACTTCAGACTCACGCAGAAGGTGAAATTTTAAACTTGCTTTGTAATAGAATGCTCTACCTAGAAATAAAGCTCTTTTTAAAAAAAAAAAAAAAAAAAAAAAAAGTACTGTGACTCTTTAAGGCACTGCCTAGACATGTCTGCAATCTAATGTCCAGGCAGGGCATTTGACTAAATATTGATACAACTTGCAGTTAGATGGGGATGATTGTTCTCAGTGGTTGTTTCCAATGAGAATCTCTGGGCTTTATAGTGGGTTATACTTCTAGTAACTTGTTGTTTTCACTCCTAAGGTAAGAAAGAGGCAGACAGTTCATTTTTTTTCTTGCTGTACCTTAAAGGATACTAAATATGTGCTTTATCTCAGTGCCTTGTCCCAGAGAAGTATACAGGAATTTCTTTTTTTTTGTAGCTTGCCTTCAAGTTTGGGGAAAGTAGTGGGCTGGCTGGCTGTAACAGATATTAGCCTTGTAAGTCTTTGTGTTTGGGTGAATGTAAGACCATGTGTGTCTTTGCGTACTTAAACAAAGGGAGCTAAGGTAGGAAAATTTGAAGTCTCCTGTGATGCTAACCACTGTAGCATCAGTGGTTGTAGCTGTGGAACTATACAGATGAGACCTTTTGGAGCAGCTCAGCTCTTAAAACCTGTTCCACTTCTTGGACCAAAAAACCCCCTAGCTTTTCATTGCCTGTTCACTCACCCACACCCACTTTTTTTTTTTTTTTTCCCCTCCTCCAATAAACCTCTATATGTGGGAGAATACAGTCAAACCCACCATAAGTAGGTTTGTCCTTATCACTTCATATTTTGCTTTCCTTTGTTTCTAATAAACATTGGTACCTATGCTCAAGGAATACAAGCATGTAAGTAATGCAACTTTTCTACCTTCGATGCCTCATTTAAGCCTATTTGTTAACTTAGTCCTATATAAGTAATGTTAAGTTACAGACCCTTAGGTATTCCCTAAGTCTCATTTACCTCCCTTCTCCCAGTGTCTCCTGAGTGTGCTGGCCCTCAGGTAGAAGGCAAGAACCCAATGCTACAAAAATGGCCTAGACCTCAATGGGTCTTCCTGTGGGAAGGATGTTGAAGCTACTGCTTTTTATCTTAAGCAGGAGACTCTTCTCTCCTGCAGGCTAGGTAAGCCTAGCACTTAACTGCAAATGGTCTTTTGAAAAACATGCTTGAGTCCGGTGTGTACAATTCCTCCCTGGACTGAGGCCCTAGTCTCTAGCTTCCAGAAACAGCTTCTACAGTCAGTCATCTCTTAACGGCAATGGAGTTTGTGTGTGCCTAAATTAGGCTTAAGCAATGGCTTAAGAGACTTATAGCTGTATCTTAAAGCTTATGCAACTTCTTAATATCAACATATGCAGGTTTTTTTAACTGCTCTCAGTAAGAAAAAATGTAATGCGCTGCACTGCAGCTGGGCATAGTGAAAACAGTTTGGTTTGGAGCAAAGGAAGGGTTGTTTTTTTCTTTAGAAAGGAGCGCAGTAAAATCCAGCCGACGCTGTTGTGAAGGGATCTGTTTGTAGACATAAATGAAAACAAACTGCACAGAGAACAGACCTGTTCAGCTAACTGCTTCTTGTGTTTTATTTTATGTGGAGGTTCAGAAGGCAAAGCATGAATGCTGATAACTGTATGGCAAGCAACAGCCACTCTGCTGTGGGAGACAGACTTAAGCAAAATTGCTTTTGCCATTTAAAAGGAATAGTGCATATCTGTAAGTACCTGGCATAAAAATTCTAGTAGAACTACTTCATGGATAAGAACAGTGGAATACTACATTATACATTCATACATGTTTCTATCATATTCAGTTTTTATATACAGTATATGATCTGTTTCTATAAATGTACAGCTCTGCATAAAGACACTTCTTATAACAGGTAGAGCATTAAACATAAATCCAACATGGGCCAGCCATATTATAATATAAATCTTGAAGAAGGCAACGTTGTTTAGCACACAGTACTACGTGGTTTTCTGTTTTAACGTCTTATAGTGCCTGTTGGAGTCCCTAAACACATCAGCAAACACAAACTAGTTCCGTTACAACTCTGTACAGAATTACTTAAATATACCATCACAGTAGGTTTTTAGATGGTAATATCCCAAATGAGCCTAAGTCTTTTTGACATGTAGCAGCATACTTAACATGTTCTCCAGAATGATCTGCATCAGAGGAAGTGTGCATTCAACATTATCTTCAGCAGATGACTAAAAAGGTTACTGATACTCAGCTGAAGGCACTTATGAAATACACCCCTTTCACAGTCCCTGGTTGCAGACTGCAAAACACCTTTCTGTTTCAGGAAGGTGGTAGGTTTGAGCATTCTTCACTTACTAGGTGTTAAAACCAGGTTTTAAATATAATAAATAATTGGTCAGTACATCCATTGCTGTATGCTTCTGAGACAAAAGATCAAAGTCTGTGCTGTGGGTAATTTTCTTCCTGCTCATAAACAACTTTACTGGTGAAAATACTGCTGTGAATGGCAGATCTCAGAAGAACAGTGTCCTGAAGGCAAGGGAAAACATCTTCAACCACTGGTAAGTTCATGCCAATTTTTGTCTGATAGTCTTTTATATCTTGGTGACATAATTGTTGGGAAACAGACCTTGTTTCCCTCGTAGTCTTCCTGTCCACCAGCCAGAAGGATCTATGACAAAGAAAGCAAAGTAAGTAGTGAGGTTCTGTAAACCTCTTTGTATACTTTTTGAGGCAGCCTTGCAAAGCTATTCCACACAGTGAGAGCCTTCTTGTGAAGGACTGAGAAGAAATTATTTGGAGAACCTGAGCTTGCTAATCCGGCCACATCACTATGCCTTATGAGGTTGCTTTATTACTTTTTGGTTCTTGTGTGATAGCTGTGGTTTAGGCTAATTTTCAGCCAGAGCCTGCGATAGAATTACTCTCTAACTAAATGTATAGATCTGCAGTACCAAGTAATGTATATGTCCTTGATCTCCTGCTGACATGCTTTTTAAAATGAACAGGTTTGATTGGGGTGTGTGTGTGGAGACTGCTCCCTGAGCTATCGTAGAAATTTGCAAGCCTAATGAGGGAAGGTAACTGTGGGGTGGCTCAAAAAGTCATGGCTTAACTACTTATGACCTTCAAGATTAGTACTTAAGTAACAAAACCTTTGATCTCTACATACCTTCTTTAATTATATCAATCACGTCGTTGGCATTAAAGCTAAGTTCATCTGTGTCTTGAGCATCATATGCATACAGTGCCCTGCACTGTGGTACCTGAGGCTTAGGTTTTGGCTGTGGTTTAGGCCTTCCTCCAGCTGGTGGGGGTCGGTTTGTTGTCTGCCTGCGAACACTAATGGGAGAAGAAAAAGAAATGTTAACATGCTTCAAAGCTTATGACTTGAACTAAAGCTTTATCAACCCCTCTGTCCTAATGAATTGATTCTAAAGAATAGCACAGAACAAGGGAAAAAGGATTCTCTTAAATGTCACAACAATTAGGGAAATCTTACATTGCTATTTTTATGAAAGGGACAGAGTTGCCATTTCTTTCCTACTGAAATGGATGAATGGGTACTTCCAAACAGCAGTTCAAACGCATAGGAGAAGACATTTTAGTGCTCAGGTTGGAATGTAAACAAATGTGCACATGCAGGTCATGCATATCTTGGCATCTACACAGCTTAGTCTGTCTCTCCCCGTGCCCCAACTTCACCAGGAATTTAGTTTCCAGTATTAAAAACAAAATTCTAGCTCACAGGCTTGCTACTTTACCATTCTTGTGACTAAGCTGTAAAAGAGAGTGCATCTCTTTTAAGTTGCCTCAGATTCCAGGGCCGTCTATGGACTTGTTCTGTTCTAGTCAACTCTGAAGCAGCAGGGGAGATGCTGCACAAACTCTTTGTTACAGCTGTGACCACTCCAAAGAGTAGGAAGGGGAAAGAGGGAAGAAATGCATTTTGCCAGCTCATCAGCTAATAAAGGCTGGAAGAGAGAACAGGTATTAGATGCAATATGTCAGTTTAAAATAAATAATAAATAAATGTGATGAATAGTTAAAAATGTTGCAGTGAGGTGGAGACTGAACTGTGACAATGCCATGATACCATTACACAGCTCTTGCGGAAAAGGTTCATAGTTAATTACACGCAGTCCTAGACTTAATTTTTGTCAATACGGCTCTCTGTCTAGTTCTAAGTTTGTGTAGTGAACTGCACCAGAAAATGAGCTTTGAGGTATGGGTTAACAGCATTTCAGTTCTAAATTTATCTGCTGGGAGAGAGGATTTTCTCCTGTTGTTCAGCATGTATTGACTTTGCTTGGGATAGGCTACGTTGTGAAACCTAGACCTAGGTATGGAAATAAGTTCAGAGCAAGTCTTAGAAAAGTACCTCAGCTTTTCTGCAACCACAGTAGACCAAGAACATCTTAAACGAGATGTTTTGCTGGTGAGAGCATGGTGTTTTTAAACTAACTCAGGCTTGTATTAGATTGTTAGTGATGGCTAGAAATTAAAGCTGTGATAATACCAGTGCATCCTTCTCAGCAGCTTTGCTTAAAAATAAACCTAATTCTAACCCTTAAATCTATAATGGCTGTGTAAATTCACAACAAACACTTCTAGCGCATTCCTTGTGTACAGGGAATGCTAGAGCTTTCTCTTTTGAAAAAGAACAGTCGCAGAGAAATACCTACCTGAAACCCACTGCTGCATATAGTAATATTGTTTCTTTTTAGTACATTAATAAAGGCTCTCATAACACTGAGGAAGACAGCCTTGCAAATGTCACGTTTGTATGAGTACGTTCTTTGGTCTGTTACTGCTGTAAAACTCCTGTAGGGTGTTTGTTTTTCATAGTGGTGACTGTACTGGAGAGACTTGACAATAGTAATGCTGGGAATGGTACTGAACAGGAAGAACTGGAAGGAAGAACAGGCAGAACCCCTCAGGTGTCCTTTCTGAACAGCTGCCTCCTCCACTCCTTTGTGAGCCTTACTCCGTTCTGGACTGGCTTTGGGAACTGATCTATTTGAAAAATGATCTGCTAACTTGGCTAGACCAGTGTTGGGTCCAGTCGAGTCCCTC